GAGCTAACACCCTACGTCCCTTCCCCATTCCAGCTTTGATTGAGGACAGAGCAGAAAGGGAGAGCAACAGAAATGTAACTCAGAACTTCTCAGAATAGCCAAGCACTGACATTCAGCGTCTGCTGAGCATACAGCTTTCTTGACTAAAACAGGAAAAGAGAATTAGCCCAGCTTAACACTCAGTGCCATTCCCCAGGTGGTAGCAAGCAGGATTTACATCAGCTGAGTCTCTGTCCAGGTTTTTTAGTAAATACAAAACCAGAAACATCATAGCATAAGAAGAGAAAGAAATGTAGAATAATTTATATGAACATTTTTCTTTCTGTTTTTCTCTCTGTTTTTCTTTCTGTTTCTTCTCCTACAGGAAGGTCTTGGCAGTTTCTGTTTCATCATTTTCTTTGTATACTGTCTGTCCATGGCTATCTTTGTCTTCCTGGTGATGCCAGAGACCAAAGGAAAGACTATGCTGCAGATCATGGAGGAGTTCAACCACCTGAACTACCGTGGAAAGAAGAGGCAGACTGCCCTACAGCAGAATGATAGCTCTGTGATGATCGCTACAAGACTTTAATAATGAACTCTCTGCTCTTGGATTTATATTTTTTTCTTGTATTATGGTAGTGCACAGAAGCCTCATTAAGCAAAAGAGATTCTCTTGATCCACACTTGGCACAAATATGTATTAAAAAAATACTGACTGCTGTGCAGGACACAGGATGAACTTGGTGTTTCTCTCCAAATTTCTTTCTGAAATTTGAGCCAAATTAAATCCTTTGCAGAAAAAAAAAGATACATAGTGTACAGAGAAACAAGATCTTTATCAGTCCCTGCAACTTAGCAGCTGTGTAGACAGAAAATGTAAGATCTGATGTGGTTACCAAAACCAGGACTCCAAAGTAACTGGAGAAAGTGAGTGTGTAAGGTTCAGATATTCAGCATACTTCTGAAAAGAGGAGAAAAGAAAGACAGCGCTTTCACAGTGAAATGACCTGCTGTTATTAATAGTACTGCTGAGCTTTCCAAGAGAAGGGGCTTCAGTCCAGATGAAAAGAACTGTTTTGCTGTTTACCCCAGCGGAAGAAGAGTGCTGTGCCTGTCAGCTGACATAATCAGTATGCAGCATTCCCCCCTCTTTCAATTAGACTTGAGGGCAAGCACATGATATTGGGGCAAGGAGGACTTTCCTGGGCTGCTTGTGATCAGCTGCTCCTGCTGTTTTATCTTCACATCATCCTTTTACAATGTTTGTAGTAGTAGTGAGAGCAAAGACCAGCAACAGTGGCCTTCCCCAACATAGCCATCCTTCCTATCACACAGGCTCTGGCTCCCCTCAGGCTGCCTGCTGTCTTCATCATCAGGGAAACTACAGAAGTCAGTTTTGTTTCCAGCATTACCGGAGCCAGACGACAAACTTACTTCTACTGTTTCTCTTCATGGTCCCCCAGCCCTTCCTCTCCCCTTCTCTGAGTTTCCTATTCAACTTCCCCTTCCTCCATCCTGATGTTTCCTCCTTCTCTGTTGGGTGGATCATTCCTTCCTCCTACTGCAATTGTCGCTTCCTCTGTTTCAGTTCTGACAGTCCCCTCTTCCTTATCTCTCACACTCCCCAATTTTCTCTTTCTTTTTCACATTCTGTGTCTAGTTCTCCTATTTCTCCATGCCCTGTACTGCTGGGTTAATTCAAATAAATGAGCCAGAGAGCTAAAGCATTACCATGAGGCACTCATCATACTACAAAAGCAGCTAGACAAAGTTCACAGATTCAAGGCTGGAGGCCATGGCTTGCACAGTACCACAGCAAGAACCAACATATACTCTTTTTCCTGGTCAAAAATGTAGGAAAAAAAAAAAAGAAGAAACATTCTAAGCTTTTTGAAAAGAAAGGATTAAGTAAGGCTTTCATTACTAAAACAGTCTTTGCTTGGTTTGGTCTTTCTTAACCTCACTGGTTCCCAGTAAGGAACTTCTAAGTGCCCTAAAAGACACAAAAAAAACCCTGAGGTCAGTGCCTGTCTCTCTTATCCAGTATTATTCCTTGTTAGCTCCCATGAAATGATGCACCAGTTTTTATGCTGACTCATATCCTTATACATGTCTTTCTACAGTGTGATCTTGTCGAGCATGCCTGACTTCTTGCCTTCTTCCCTCCTACCAGTAAATACTGCCTGCAAGAGGGAAAACATGATAAATCATTAACACTGCCACAGAGTAGAATGGATTTGGAATACAAGTTAAATAAGGACTTGTGAATCTGCAGTGCATCTATTTGCTTTCCATGATTATACAAGTGCAATACATGGCATCTTCAAAAATACAACCCCTCGGTGCTGAGGGCATCAGGTGAGCTATGCATCGGGTCTGGAATAAGCATATTTCTTGTAGCGTTCAAATCCTAGGTGGAAAGATTCATTCTTTCCTCTTCAGTAGGAAAATAAATGAAAACTTTACTAGGCACTTAAGTTCTTACTTTTTCCATATAAACATTAAAGCACTGAATAGAAAAGGGAAAGATACAAATGAGACAGTCGCATGAGTATTCCAAGAGGAACACAGAGAACAGAAGGACGAGGAGCAGGGCTCTGCTGGGGACAGTTTGATCAATGAGATGTTAAAATCTGGTCCCAGACAAGAGTATTTAAAACCCCTTCCAGAAAGATCCAGCCATGTGCGCCCCTCCTTCCAGCAGCCAAGTTTGCCATCCTCAACTCAAAGAATAAATCCTCCTTCCTCCTCTGGAGGCTCACCTGGACCCAGCCCAAGGCTCCACTCCAAGGTGCCTGAGCCCTGCTGTTCGGGTCTACCCCAAAATGGTTTGCTGCTAGTCTAGCAGAACCCCTTTGAGAGGGAAAGGAAATAAAAGCAGATCTGAAAGGGACGGTACAGCATGGAAAGGTCTAGAAAATGAGATACGCCATTCACTTTTGGTATAGAAATCAAAAAAGTCAAAGGGAAAGTAAAGGTAAAATGGGGGAAACAGCAAAAGAAGGGGCAATGATTTCAAAAGCAGCTTTTAGTACGTCCTGATAGAAAACAAGAGAACACACTGCACTGTTCAAGTATCTCCTTAGACCTTTCTGCCACAGGTGTTGGGGACAATAAAAGTTTACAAGAGTTCAAAAAGGAACTAGATAAATTCATGGAAGGAGCATACATAAAGACACCATCCTGACCAACAAAGTCCCAGGACTGGGCATCACTAGAGCCTGGGGGAACATACAGGTGAAAGAATCACTGCACACTCACCCAGTTGCAATGCTTTTGCCTACAGCTGCTATTTGGGACTGCTGGATCTGGGATACTCTGCTGGACAGAGCTCTGGCCTGATCCTGCCCAGCTGTGCCTGGAGATGAGATCTGAATCCCCTCTAGGACAGGCGTAAGAGGGGACAGAGGACAGCAGTACAATCTGGCTGTGCTCATCTCCGTTACAGCAAAATCTTCGTCTGAGGGGAAGGCGGTGGCCAGTATCAAAGCAATTAGAGACTGAGAGGCAGAATTTGTAAGAAGCAAGAGAAAACCTAAATAAGGACAGGGATTTCTGCAGTAGTATTCAAAGAGAAAGGTAGATTTGGGAGTGTTTTAGAAGAGGAGGTGAGAACATTTGAGGAGATGTGCTGAGAGAGGAAGGAATGAAATTTAATACTATAGCTGATGTGGAGGTGATGAGAATTTCAGGGAGGATGAAAATACAATGAGTGGAAAGAAGAAAAATACAGCTTTAATTATTTTACTGTCCTGGTGTGCAGCAAGGCAGCCAAGCAGGGAGTTTGGAGAGAGAATATTACTGGGACATCTGACAGGAGAAAGGTCAAGGTGTGACTCAGCATGCTCCCTCCAGGCTGGAGGGGACACAGCTCAAGGTGAGCATGGTGCTGGGTTGTCAGTCACCGTCACGTGAAAAGCAAACAGAAGGAAGAACAGCAGCA